AAGAGTGTGGGAAGGGTTTAAAATGCCTTTATATATATATATATATATATATATATATATATATATATATATATTTGGGATGGGGCCGATCCGATCCAGTATCGGTATCGGCCTCCGATACCAGCGTAATTTACGTATCGGATTTTTCTGATCCACCTGCCGATATTTCCGATCCATGATCCATGTTGGCTTCAAACTACGGAATGGATTTCCTGAACGGCGGCGTGTCTCATGAACCCAGAGTAATAAGACCCACCTCACATTCAGGAAATCCAGTTCATAGTTTGCAGCCAGCTACAACCTGAGGGCTGAGTTAGCAGCATTGTGGCTAACACATAAACTTTTCATCTAAACATGTCCGCTGTGTGGAAGTATTTTACTTTAGAAACAGCACAAAACAAGACAGCAACGTGCAATGTCTGCAGAGCCATAGCGCCACATTAAACCACAGTAAAGTTAGTTTTACGATGGACATTCGAGCTTCGCAGCTTCAGCGAGGCGCTGCTCTTTGCTCAACCGGAAAGAGGCGACTCGACCCCGGCCAGCCATGTCCAATCTGCCCCGCTCAGTCTGCCCGTGTCCGAGGAGGGACAGACTGAGCGCGGCTGCCCCAAATCAGGCTGCTTGCTTCAGATTGAACAAGAAGAAGACATCGCTGAAACTACAGAGCTCAAATGTTTACAGAGAAGTTGCTAAAGTTCATCATGATTCATGACCATCCACTATCACTTGTAGAAAACGAAGGATTTCACAGCTTGATACTTGCAGCCAAGATATAGTTTACCCTCCAGGAGATATTTATCAGTACAACAGTAAACAATCATAAAAAAACATATGTTTTGAAAATTATATTAAAAACAAAAACAGCTACATTATAAAGTGATGTAAAATACTAAAAACAGGAACATGTCTGTTGGTTTATGCCATTAACTTAGCAGTTGTTTGAAGCCATTTAACATTTTATTTAATTTAATTCATTCATTTAAAAGAAACAAAATAAAAAAAATCATGAAAAAGAAAACATTGAATGAAAAGAGTGCAGAAAGAAGAAAAAAATTCTTATATCTGCCCCTTATTAAAAAAATATAAAATAACTTTAAACAATCACTTAAATTAATCACTTTAATATCCACTTTAAAGCTAGGAATCAAAAGAAACATGTTTTGTCTTAGCAGAATTTAATTCTAACTTTAAAATTCATCCAAAATTAATAAAACTTACCTCAAGTTGCCTTTTTGGACATGCATGCATATATTTGTACAAATTGTACTTAAGAGGAGATTATTACAGCCTCATAAAATCAATGATGATCATGATATCGGAATTGGATCAGTATCGGCCGATATTCAGACTTAGGTATTGGGATCGGATCGGAAGTTTAAAAAAGTGGATCGGTGCATCCCTAATATATATATATATATATATATATATATATATATATATATATATATATATGTATGTATGTATGTATGTATGTATATATACACACTCTCTCTACATCTAAAACAACATTTAATGTAATTTTCTACTATTATTAAAATCTAGTCAACACTAGAAAAAATACCTTGTATCTCCTTGACAATAACTGGAACAATCATCTCCTTGGGTTCACTGAGTCCAGCATGGTTTTCAGCACGAACCCTGAAGAAGTACTCAGCTCCTTCTCTCAGGCTCTTGATGGTGTGAGTCATGGTCCTTACAGTGGCACATTTCACCCACTTGGTCTGTCCTTTCTCCAGGGCATCAATGAGGTAACCAGTGACTCTACTTCCACCATCGTACTCTGGTCTTGTCCATGCAATGGTAACACAGTCCTTGGTAACATTTGCAACTCCCAGTTTCATGGGTGGACTTGGTACCTCTGTAACACACAGTGAGCCATTTAAAATACAAGTATATTGCAAATAAGTTTTCAACTATCATTGGTCATTCAGTTTATTTGTTACCTGTAATCTTTGTTCCAGCCTTTGCCTCTTGAGGTACACCAACGCCCTGTTCATTTTCTGCAATAACTCTGAAATAATAGACAGCTCCCTCCTGCAGTTCTTCCAGCTTGTAAGTCAAAGCATGGCAGTTGCTGGTAACAGATATCCAGGCTTTCTTACTTGCCTCACGTTTCTCCACATGATAGGCTTTTACTGCATCTCCACCATCGTTTTCTGGAGCCTCCCACATGAGAGTTGCTGAATCCCTGGTTACAGATGAAACTTTTACATTGACTGGGGGTCCGGGGGAGTCCAGCACCTTCACTACCATGGGCAATGTTGCCTTGCCCAGTGGTGATTCAATAGTGACATTGTATTCTCCAGAGTCATTTCTTGTAGACTTCTCAATAGTTAATGAAGTGCTGGATTCTGTAGATTCAATGGTTCCTCTTACTTTTAGATCAACACCCTCCTTAACCCATTCAGCAGATGGCACAGGATTTCCTTTAAATGGCACTTTCAGTGTAAATGATGTACCATGTTTTACAATAAGAACTTTCCGCATCTCAATATTAACATCAAACGATGGTTCCGAAGTTCTGTCTGCTGCTGCAGCTGGGTCTGAATAACGGCTACGAACACTGCTTCCAACTTTGTTTATTGCCTTCACACAGAATTCATATTCTGCATCTGTCTTTAATCCAGTGATTGTGAATTCCAAGCTCTTTGTAAGAGGAATAGTTTCAACCCATCTTGCTAGTTCTTCAGGTGATTCTGGTTCCTCTTCCTCATCATATTCCTCTTCTTCCTCAACCTCTGGCTCTGGTTTGCGTATAAATTCTCTGTATTCTACACTATATCCTAAAATGGGTGCACCACCATCATTTATTGGTGGTTTCCAGACAATAGACACACTGTCTTTAGTGGAATACACAACCTTTGGTTTGGATGGGCAAGAAGGAACAACATGAGGATCAAGTGCTCTAAATGTTGCAGATGGTTCACTGTGAGGGCTCACACCAGCTGCATTTTCAGCATAGACTCTGAAGTCATACTCACAACCCTTTCGAAGTTTTGTCATTACAGCAGAACACTCAACAACTGGATCTCTGTTCACTCTAACCCAACGCATGCTTGTCTTTTCACGACGCTCAATCACATATCCAGTTATTGGACTACCTCCATCATTGGCTGGTTTACACCATGTGAGAGTCATTGAATCTCCAGTTATAGATATCACATCAACACTAGCTGGAGCAGTCGGTAATGTGTATGGGTCAGTAACTTTTATAGTCTCACTTTCCATGGCCTCTCCCTGTCCATACTTGTTGACAGCCAAAACTCTGAAGATATACTCATTGCCCTTGAGCAGACCTGTGACTTTAAAGTAGGTTTTTGTGACCTCTCCATTAACTAATGTCCATGCCAAACGACTGGTCTCACGCTTTTCAACAACATAATGAGTGACTTTAGCACCACCAGTTTCCTGAGGAGGACCCCATGACAGGGTGCACTCCTCAGATGTGAGACCAGTGATCTGAAGAGGGCCTGCTGAGGGTCCAGGTCTGTCTAGAACCACACAATTTATTGGCATGGTGACTGTTCCAGTGATATTCTGTAAAGTCAGGACATACTGTCCAGAATCTCTTCTGATACAGTCCTTCACAATTATGTAAGTGCTTGAATCATTTGAAACAATCTGGATCCTGGCTCTTAGCTCAATCTCTTTTCCATCCTTGGTCCAGCAGACGAGAGGGGCTGGACGTCCAGCAATATCAGCATTAATCTTTAGAGTTTCTCCTGCTTTCACAAAGACAGTCTCTCTAAATTTGACATCCATCATGATACGTGGTGGATCTACATCATCTTTTACGGTGATGGGCCCTGTGTTTTCTGATGGTATACTAAACTGTCCAGCTGCATTCTTTGCGATGACATGGAAATCATACTGGCTGTTCTCTGTAAGGCCTGTCACATTATAATGGGTCTCAGGCACATTGGTAAAGTTGCATCTTGTCCATCGTCCTTCAGGAAGGTCTCTACGCTCAACTATATAGCCAGAAACCTTTGCTCCACCATCATATTCTGGTTTATCCCAAGATAAGGAGACAGATGTTCTTGTAATCGCAGTAACCACAGGTGTTCCTGGAGGATCGCATGGATCTCTGGCTGCAACAGGTTCACAGGCTTTACTGCATTTACCAATACCAGCAACATTTTCAGCATAGACACGATATTCATACATCATTCCACTTTCAAGACCAGCGACTTTAAATTCTGTGTCTTTGATCATTCCTCTGTTCATCTTTGTCCAAAGAATGCTAGAACGTTCCTTCTTCTCTAGATGATAGCCTATAACAGGACTGCCACCATCACTGACTGGCTCATTCCAGGTCACCAACATGTATGACTTAGTTGCCAGTTTCACAATGGGTGTAGAAGGGGGTCCAGGTTGTTTGAAGTTATACTGAGCAGTAATTCCAGGTGAATCAAGGGCAGGGCTCTTTCCATAACGATTAACTGCATAGATGCGGAATTGGTACTCTGCGCCATGTGTCAGGCGACCAGCTTTGAAAGACATTCTGGGTACGTTACTTGCCACCATCTGCCATTCCTGTGTATTTGTGTCTCTCTTCTCCACTATATAGTTACTGATGGAGCACCCACCATCATATTCTGGTTGGGACCAGGACATTGTAATACTGTCTGAGGTCACAGCATCCACCTTAAACCCTTTAGGTGGACCAGGTTTGTCAAGGACAACAACTCCAATATCAGCTGTTACAGTTCCTGCAGTATTGGCCAAAGTGATTTCATACTTGCCAACATGCTCTTTGTTAGCTTGTTTGATGATAATTTTGGATGAGGTTACAGCATTTAAGATGGTCACTGATGTTGTTTGCTTCAAAGGAAGACCATCTTTTTTCCAGGATACAACAGGCTTTGGCCTGCCTGTTATAGGAATCTCAAGAGTGAGGTCATCTCCAGCCTTCACACTATATGTGTTAAACAGTAAATTTATTGACGGTTCTATTGCAATGTCTTTGGCAACCACAGGCAAACCTAGATCCTTAGGTTCACTCTTTCCCTTCTCGTTGATTGCTATAACTCTGAATAAATATGCTTCATTAGGAGTCAAATTAGAAATAGTTGCTTCTGGCACTTTGACTGTGCATGCTGTGCCCCATTTTTCACCAGTCTTAGGCTTGAATTCCACATTGTAGCACATTACTTTGCTTCCTCCATCATGAGTAGGTTTCTCCCAGGCCAGTGAGACACAATTTTTTGTCACATCCACAAGAGATACTTTGTTTGGGGGCAAAGGTACCTCAGACACTTTGATTTCTTTGGTTTCAACCATCTGTCCTTGGCCATATGTATTAACAGCAGAGACTCTGAAATAGAAAATTCCACCCTCAGGGAGGTCTTCAATCTTGAATGAGTTGGCTGTGCAGTTGCTGGTGATAGTAGTGTAAGCCTTCCTAACAGACTCTCTTTTCTCAACAATGTAATTTGTAATTTTTGCACCACCATCATTGAGCGGTGTATCCCAAGCAAGAGTTACTGAGTCCTTCTTGAGTTCCTTCACAACAAAGTTTTGTGGTGGACTTGGTGTGTCCAAAATCCTTACTGAAATAACTGCAGATTTTGTACCACTGCTGTTCTGAAGTGTCAGTGAGTATTTTCCACTATCAAAGCGGTTAACATTGTCAATGACAAGCATTGTGTATGAACTAGTAGTATCAACTGTGGCATGCTCTGTAAGAGTATCCTCCATTTTCTCCCATTTCACAGAAGGTTCAGGTTTTCCCCTTATAGTGACAAACAAACGTAAAGTTCCACCAGCACGAACAGATACCACTTTTCTGAGATCTGCATCCAGCTCCATCTCTGGTGCCTCTGATCTGCTAGATGTAACTACTGTTCCATGAACATTAGCAGCCTCCCCTACACCCTCTGAATTGATAGCACAGACACGGAACTGGTACTCTCCACCCTCTTTCAAGTCTGTAATGGTGAGTTTGGTGGCTTGAATACCTGTAGGTGGCGTACACATATTCCATTCTTTTTCAACAGGTGTCTCTACTGCTGGTGCTACTTCTGCTTCCTCTGTTGATCCAGGGACTGGTGTATACTCCCTCATTTCAACAATGTAGCCCTTGATATAGGCTCCACCATCAAAGTCAGGTTTACCCCAGGATAGAGACACAGAGGACTTTGTGTAGTCTATCACCTTAGGGTGATGTGGAGGCCCAGGTGGTGTTGTGGCATCACATGCTCTGTAGAAATGTGATAACTCACTGAGGTCTCCTATTCCAGCCTCATTCTCAGCAGCAACACGGAACTCATAGAAGTGATCTGTCGTTAGACCTGTGACCTTGAAGTGGGTTTCTGTCAGCTTTTGTCTATTGCATTTTGTCCACCTTATACTATCTTTGTCACGCTTTTCAAGATGGTAGCCTTGAATGTCAACTCCACCTGTGTGTTCTGGAATTGTCCATGACAGAATTATGGAATCCTTTGTAATCTGACTTGCTTCTGGAGTTCCAGGTGCACTAGGTGGCTTGTAAGGATTGCGTGCAATGATGGGCTCACTCTCAAGATAATCACCAGCACCATATTTGTTGACAGCCCTCACTCTGAAAATGTATTCATTTCCTGTGAGCAGATTTGTTACTTTTTGGTACAGACCCTTGACATTTGGTACAGCTACTGTCCATGACAACCTGCTGGTATCTCTCTTCTCCAAAATATAGTGACTGATACTAGCCCCACCATCCAGAGTTGGCTCAGACCAGGCAAGAATGCATTTGTCAGCCATTACACCAGTCACCTTCATGGGTCCAATGGGCGGACCTGGTCTATCAAGAACTTTAACAGTGATAGGGAAAGCTTTTGTACCACCAAGATTTTTGAGAACAAGATCATAGTGACCACCATCAAGTTTAGTTACATCCTTAATAACCATAGCTGCCTGTTTCTGTGTAGTTTTAACTTCAATGCGTAAGGCTTTCTCCATTTCTTTGCCCTCTTTAAGCCAGACAACATCAGGAATTGGTTTTCCATAAATATCTGCATCAAAAGTCAAACTCTCTCCAGCATTGACAACAATAACATCCATGTATTTTGGATCCAATGATGCCCTTGGTGGTTCTACTTCATCAGTAGCAGTGATAGGTCCAGAGCTGTCTGATGGTTCACTGAAAACTCCGGCCACATTTCTAGCAATAACTCTAAATTCATACTGATCATTCTCTGCCAGACCAGTGACTGTATATTCAGTCTCAATTATGTTGGTAAAGTTAGCTCTTACCCAGCGCCCTTCAGGGGAGGAGAGATCTTTTCTTTCTACAATATATCCATTTACTTTACTGCCACCATCATACTGCGGCTTGGTCCACTGAATCTTGATCTGATTCTTAGAAATAGACACAGCTTCTGGAACACCGGGAGGGTCACATGGGTCACGAGCAACAAAAGACTCAGATACTTTGCTGCATCTTCCGATGCCAACAATATTTTCTGCATAAACCCTGAATTCATATCCAATACCCTCTTCAAGATTGCAGATCTTGAACTGAGTGTCTGTTATGCGAGTCTTGTTCAGTTTGTTCCAAAGGATGCTGCTTCTCTCTTTACTTTCTAGATGGTAACCAATGATTGCACTTCCACCATCATTAACCGGCTCATTCCATTCAATAATCATCATTTCTTTAGTAGCATATTTTACATATGGCGTTCCTGGAGGCCCAGGTGGTTTGTATGGATATTGCACCACAATGGTCTTGGAGTCAAGAGGCACACCTTTCCCATATCTGTTTTCAGCAATTATTCTGAACTGGTATTCTGCACCAGTCTTCAGCTTTGAAACCTTGAATGCTGTTCTAGCCAGCTGTGTGATAACTGGCTGCCATGTTGAGGTTGTGGTATCTCTCTTTTCTACTATATAGTTATTTACTTGACATCCACCAGTGTATTCTGGGGGCTCCCAGGAAAGATGGACAAAGGTGTTGCTTACGTCAATAATTTTGACTGGACCTTTTGGTGGACCAGGCTTGTCAAGGATAATGACAGTCACATCTTCAGTAATAGTGCAAACACTATTTGTTGCAACAATAGAATATTTGCCATAGTCATCTTTGCATGCCTCTGTAATTTGAATTCCAGTTGTTGATGGAGTGTTGAATACATTAACTCTGGATGTCACTTTGAAAGCTTGACCGTCCTTAGCCCAGGATACTTTAGGTTTGGGCCTGCCAAGCACAGGGAACTCTAGTTTAAGATCTTTTCCAGCTAACACACTGTAAGTGTTAAATTGCATTCTAATGCTTGGCTCCATGGTCATGTCGCTTGCAATCACTGGTGCAGCAAGTGCCTTTGGCTCACTCTTTCCCTTCTCATTGTATGCAATAATTCGAAATAGGTATTCTGTTCCTGCTGTGAGACCTGTCACAGTCCCCTCACATGTTTTTGTGTTTGTTGCTACTCCCCACTTATCGGTGCCTTTTGGTTGCATCTCAATCAGATAGCCACTGATCCTACTGCCTCCATCATGCTCAGGTTTCTCCCAGGTCAGAGTGGCAGTAGTTTTGGTGACATCAGTCAGGAAAACAGTTCCAACAGGTAATGGTACTTCGGAGGCTTTGGAAGCAGTTTTGGTTTCTACAGCCTGGCCAACTCCATATTCATTTTCAGCCATAACTCTGAAGTAATACATAGCTCCTTCAATCAAATTTTCAACTTTGAATGCAGTCTTGGAGCATTTTGTGGATACATTTGCATATGCTTTCCTGGTTGATTCACGTTTGTCAATGACATAGTTCTTGATTTTCGACCCTCCATCAATCAGTGGGGCATCCCAAGTAAGAATGACAGAGTCCTTTTTGATGTCTTTAACCACAAGATTTTGTGGGGCCCCTGGTGTGTCTAAAATCTTAACTGAAACAAAGTCTGAGACAGAACCACTACTATTAGTCAAGGTCAGTGAGTATTTTCCTGAGTCACTCCTGTCACATGAGTCAATTGACAGCTGTGTGAAGTTGATAGCTTTCTCCACAACAGCCTTTTCAGAGAGATCTCCCTCATCCTTTGTCCATTTAATCTCAGGTATTGGCCTGCCCTTGAAAGGAACATAGATTCTAACAGACCCACCAGCTTTCACTGTAATGCCCTTCCTCAGCTCAGAGTCAAGATGGATGTGTGGTAGATCCACTCTTTCCTCAGGTTTGGCAGTTCCAGCAAGAACAGCTGGCTCACCAACTCCAATTTTGTTCAATGCACACACTTGTATCTTGTACTCCTGGCCCTCAGTAAGTTTTGCAATTTCATACTTGTTGACACGCAGGCCAGTAGGCGGAGTAACTATGGTCCATGTCTCCTCTTCAGCCTTGCATATTTCCACAATGTATCCTTGAATGGCAGTACCACCATCAGACAGTGGTTTACCCCATGACATGGTAATGGAAGATTTTGTTGAATCAATCACATTCACATATGCTGGTGCACCAGGTTTGTACTTGGGGTCAGAGGCCTTATAATATGAACTGGGAAGGCTTGGTTCTCCTACTCCAACTATGTTCTCAGCAGATACTCTGAATTCATATTCATGGTCTGTTGTGAGGCCTGTAACTCTGTATGAGAGATCAGTAACTTTATGTCTGTTGCATCTTGTCCATTTGATTCCAGCTCTGTCCTTCTTCTCAATTATGTAGTTAGTAATCTCACTGCCTCCATTAGTTTCAGGGGAAGACCAGCTGATTGTCATGCCATCATGGGCAATATAAGATACATCTTCAATGTGAGGTGAACCAGGTGGAACAAATGGGTTTCTCATAATAACTGCAGAAGAGTCAAGTGGATCGCTGACACCATAAGAGTTTACTGCTATTACACGGAACATGTATTCATTGCCCTCCAGTAATTTGGTAATTTTGTAATATGTGGTATTACAGCTGCTGGAAACAACAGTCCAAGCAAGACGGCTGGTCTCTCTTCTTTCAATGATATAATGTGTAATAGGACTACCTCCATCATCTAGAGGTGCACACCACGTCAGTGTGCATCTATCTTCTGCTACTCCTGTGATGTGGAAGGGTCCTTCACATGGGCTAGGTCTATCCAAAACCACAACTTTGAATGGAACTGTTTCACTACCAGCCTCATTTGTTAGGAGGAGTGTGTAAGTTCCACCATCAATTCTAACAGAGTCCTTAACGACGATCATTGCATGGTTTTCTGTATTTTTGATTTTCCTTCTGAGTGTATTCTCAACTGGCTTTTCATCTTTAAACCACTGGATTGTAGGCAGTGGCTTGCCATGGACATCTGCATCTAACTTGAATGTCTCTCCTGCATTAATAATGATAGTCTTGGTAAAAGCAGGATCAATCGAAAATTTAGGTGCTTCCACTTCATCACTTGCAGTTATAGGTCCACTGTTGTATGATGGCTTGCTGACAGTGCCAACAGCATTTTTAGCAAAAATTCTAAAGTCATACTGCGCATTTTCAGTTAGTCCAGTAATAGTAAACTGGGTCTCAATCACATTAGTGAAGTTTGCCCTTACCCACCTGCCTTCTGGCAAATCACGCTTTTCTATGAAATAGCCAGTGATATTACTGCCTCCATCATATTCTGGTTTAGTCCACTGAATAACAATAGTATCTTTTGTCACACGGATGGCCTCTGGTGTACCAGGTGGATCACATGGGTCACGGGCAACACAACCCTCTGAGACCTTACTACTTCTGCCAATGCCAACAATATTTTCAGCATAAACCCTGTATTCATACTCAATACCTTCTTCCAGTGGGTGACTCTTGAATCTGGTTTCGTGAATAAGAGTCTTGTTGATTTTGACCCAGAGAATACTATTCCTCTCTTTCCTTTCTAGATGGTAGCCAAGAACAGAACTTCCTCCATCTGTGATAGGCTCATGCCACTCAACAATCTGGTGGTCTCTAGAAAGAGAAGAAATGAAAGGAGTGCCTGGTGGGCCTGGCTCTCTGTATGGGTATTGAGCAACTACAGTTGATGAATCTAGACCTTGACTCTTTCCATAGCGGTTCTGGGCAATGATCCTAAACTGGTATTCTGCTCCTGTTTTCAGTCTAATAACTTTGATAGTTGTTCTGGCACAGTTGGTGTTCACATTCTCCCACGATGCTGTGGTAGTATCTCTCTTTTGAACAATGTAGTTAGATATTTGACACCCCCCATTGTGTTTTGGTGGATTCCATGAAATGGTGACACTCTGTGTTGTGATTTCATCAAATCTAACAGGACCAGATGGAGGGCCAGGTTTGTCAAGTACAATAATTTCAATCGCTGTGTCCTTCTTTCCTTCTGAGTTTATGGCATTTATACAGTACATGCCACCATCATCATTTGCTGCCTCCTTAATGCTTAATGTTGTATGTGTTACAGTATTGAGAATATTGACTCTGGTGGTGAACTTCAAAGGAGCTCCATCCTTAGTCCACGTGACTGTTGGTTTAGGGCGTCCAAAGATGGGAATATCAATGTTCATGTCTTTGCCCACATGGATACTGTAGCTGCTGAAGGCTGGACGGACATCTGGTTCAAAGACCAAATCCTTGGTCATCACTGGACCAGCAAGAACTTTGGGGTCACTCTTTCCTTTATCATTGATAGCAGTAACTCTGAACAGATATTCCTGTCCTGGGTTCAAATTTGAGACAGTGGTCTCCATGGTCTTAAATGTGTTCACACCAGACCATTTATCATGTCCCTTCAACTGAACCTCAAGGAGATACTGCATTACTCTACTACCACCATCATATTCTGGTTTTTCCCATGCTAAGGAGATACTTGTTTTAGTTTGATCTGTAACAATCAAATTTTTAGGGGACTGGGGCACTTCTGAAACCTTAAGAGGGTCTAAAGTTGCTGTGGGCAGGCCAACACCATAAGCATTCTCAGCAAGAACTCTGAAGTAGTAACTACAACCTTCTTGGAGTGGTTCAATCTTACATGACAGATCATGACAGTTTGTTATAACAGCTGCATATGTTTTACGTGTGCTTTCTCTTTTTTCAATAATGTAGTTCTTGATCTTGGATCCACCATCCAATAGAGGTGGCTCCCATCCCAGTGTCACTGACTGATTTGTAATTTCCTTAACTTTAAGATTAACAGGAGCACTAGGTGTATCAAGTACACGGACAACAATAAATGCAGATTTGGTGCCACTGGAGTTTTCTGCAGTTATTGTGTATTTTCCACTGTCATATCTGCTCACTTTATCAATAACAAGGGATGTATAACTGCTGGTTATCTCAACCTGAGCAGTCTCTTTGAGAGCAGCTTCATCTTTGTTCCACTTGATGGTAGGAGTGGGTCTTCCTTTAATTGGAATAAACATTCTAAGGGAAGTACCAGCTTTGATGGTCACAATCTTTCTAAGTTCTGGGTCGATGTCAAGGTCTGGTTCTTCTTTCCTTTCTTGCACCACAATATCTCCAGAGAAATCAGCATGCTCACTAACTCCCACCTTGTTCATAGCACACACTCTAAATTTATATGACTGATTTTCCTTCAGATTTCCAACTTCAAATTTGGTTGTCTTAACACCTGTAGGTGGTGTACATATTTTCCATTCCTCAGCAGGTGCATCTGTGGGTTCAGCTTGCTCACTTCTCTCTGTGGCAGTGCAGTACTCAATAATATATCCCTGAATCTCGCAACCTCCATCGCATGCAGGTTTTCCCCATGATAGAAATACTGAGGATTTTGTTGTGTCAGTGACCTTTGGATGGTGTGGTGGGCCAGGTCGAAAGACGGGATCAAGACATTTGTAGAATACAGTTGGAGTACTTGGATCACCAACACCTACAGCGTTCTCAGCTGCAACTCTGAATTCATAAATATGACTTTCCAGGAGTCCAGTTACTTTGAAAGTCAAATCTGTGACTGTTTGCCTGTTGCATCTTGTCCATCTTACTCCTTCTTTGTCATGTTTTTCAATTATGTATCCCATTATAGGACTGCCTCCATCTTCAGAAGGAGCCTCCCAGCTGAGCACCACTGAATCTTTATTAACTTTAGAAACTTCTAAGCTCTTTGGTGAACCAGGTGTTACATATGGATCCTTGATTAAAACAGCTGCAGACTCAAGTGGTGTACCCACTCCAAACTGGTTAACTGCACGGACTCTGAAGATATACTCATCTCCTTCTAGGAGCTTAGTAACGTTTAGACATGTATTATCCACTTTTGGATCAACAACCGTCCAGACTAGTCTGCTTGTCTCTCTCCTCTCAACAGTGTAGTGAGAGATGTTGCTGCCACCATCTTGAAGTGGTGGTTTCCATACTAAGTAGCAGCGATCCTTGCTTACCCCGGTAACAAGCAGAGGTCCTTGTGGTTCCCCGGGTTTATCTAAAACAATCACATTGATTTGTACAGACTTTTCTCCTCCTGGATTTTTAAGAAGCAGAGTGTATTGGCCTCCATCTGAAAGTTTGGCTTCTTTCACACTTATATAGGCTTTAGTTGATGCATTTTTAATTTCTCTATGAATGGTGTTGCCAAGTTCCTGCTCTCCTTTTATCCAGTGAATAGAGGGTAGTGGCTTGCCATGAACATCAGCATCAATTTTGAAATTGTCTCCAGCATTAACCACAACAGTCTGTGTGTACTCAGGATCAATACTGATTTTTGGTGGTTCAATCTCATCCCTGGCAGTTATAGGACCAGTACTGTAAGAGGGGAGACTGAAAACACCAGCAGCATTTCTGGCAATGACACGGAATTCATACTGGTTATTTTGCACAAGTCCAGTTGCAACATACTCTGTCTCAATGACATTAGTAAAGTTGGCTTTCACCCAACGACCCTCAGGAAGCTCCTTCTTTTCCACAATGTAGCCAGTAACCTTTGCACCACCATCATACTCAGGTTTGGTCCAAACAATAGTCACAGAGTCTTTAATGATCTTTACTGCCTCTGGAGTGCCAGGAGGATCACAAGGATCCCTTGCAATATTCCCCTCAGACACTTTGCTCACTTTGCCTATTCCAACAATGTTTTCTGCATAAACTCTGTATTCATACTCCATTCCTGGTTCTAGACCTGTCGTCTTGAAGGTCTGATCAGTAATTAGAGATTTGTTTAGCTTAACCCATAAAATGCTGTTCCTCTCTTTGCGTTCAAGATGGTAGCCCAATATAGCACTTCCACCATCATTCACAGGTTCATTCCAGGCTACAACCATGCTGTCTTTAGTAGCGGCAGCAATGTTTGGTGTTCCTGGTGGTCCTGGGAGCTTGTATGGGTACTGAGCCACAATACACTCTGACAGAATTACTGGTCCTTTTCCATATCTGTTTTCTGCTGCAATCCTAAACTGATACTCAGATCCAGTCTTCAACCTACCAGCCTTAATTTTTGTCCTTGCAAGGTTTGGAGATACAACCATCCAATTAGTTGTGGATGTGTCTCTCTTTTCCACAAAGTAGTTTTTGATTGTGCAACCACCATCATATTCTGGTGGGTTCCAAGAGATTGTTATACTATCCGAAGTGACCTCCTCCACTTTGACAGGACCACTGGGCTGACCTGGTTTGTCTAGAACAACAATGCCAACATTCACTTGTGTCTCTCCTGCTGTGTTGCTAAGAGTAACAAAATATTGACCAACATCCTCTTTAGTTGCCTCTTTAATGGTGAGGTTCAGCTTTGTGTCAGTTGCTCCAAAGTTGACTCTGGTAGTTCTCTTCAGAGGCTGACCATCTCTCACCCAGGAGACAGCTGCTTTAGGACGTGCTACATATGGAAATTCCACTGTCAAATCTTCACCTGCCAACACACTATATGTGTTAAACAACATTTTAGCAACAGGTGCAATCACAAGCTCTTTTACTATGACAGGAACACCAAGTTGACGAGGGTCACTTGTTCCTTTCTCATTTTTGGCTGCTACACGGAACATATATTCTTCCCCTGCATTTAGTCCACTGATAGTGGCTTCGGTATCCTTTACAATCATAGCCTGTGCCCACTTATCAACACCTTTAGGCTGAATCTCAACAATGTAACAGCCCACTCTGCTACCACCATCATGCTCTGGCTTCTCCCAAGAGAGAGTCACACTGTTTTTGGTAATGTCCTTAAGAGTGATTTTGCCAGGTGGCTGTGGTTTTTCAGACACTTTAACTGATTCAGCAGTCTCAATGGGCAAGCCAATGCCATATTCATTTTCAGCCAAAACTCTAAAATAATAATTGCATCCCTCTAGGAGCTGGTCAACTGTGAAGGTGGTGTTATGACAAATAGCATTAACTGTGGCATATGCTTTCCTTGTTGACTCACGTTTTTCAACTATATAGTTCTTAATCTTGACTCCCCCATCATTTACTGGTGGATCCCATGTTAGAGTGACTGCTTGATTTGTGACCAATGTAATTTTTAGATTTTGTGGAGCACTTGGTGTATCAAGAACTCTGACCTGGACTGTTACGGTTTTGGAGCCAGAGCTATTTTCAACCATAAGATTATATTTTCCACTGTCAAATCTGTTGACATTTTCAATTACAAGTGATGTGTATGATGATGTACTGTCAATAGTTGCCCTTTCTATCGTCTCACCATCACCTTTAGTCCATTTAGCCTGAGGAGCTGGCCTGCCTCTAATTGGCACAAACAGTCTAAGAGAACAACATGCTCTAAGACTAACCACTTTGCGGAGATCAGCATCCAAGTCAATTTCAGGTGGGAGAAGTCTGTCCTCTGCCTTGGGATTTCCTGGTACAGAAGCTGCATCTCCAATTCCTTCACTGTTGATTGCAGATATATTAATCTTGTACTCCTGATTCTCTTTTAGATTAGTAATAGTAAATGAGGTTGCAAGGAGACCATCCTTGGGTGTCACAATTGACCATTCCTCCTCTTCTTCCTTCTCATGTGGGATACAGGTCTCAACAATATAACCAGTGATTTCTGAGCCACCATTATATACAGGTTTGTTCCAGGCAACAGTAATTGAGGACTTGGTTGTGTCCAAAATTCTAGGGTTGCATGGAGCCCCTGGCTTGTACAGTGCATCGGAGGCCTTATAAAACAAACTGGGAACACTTGGTGTACTTAGTCCAGCAGCATTCTCAGCAGTTATTCTAAATTCATATTCATGTCCTGGAACAAGGCCTGTTGCCTTGAACTGGAGATCTTTGACTTTTCTTGTGTTACACTTTACCCAACGAAGTGCAGCTCTGTCTTTCTTTTCAATAATGTAGTTTGTAATGGGAGTTCCACCATCACACTTAGGTGCTTGCCACATGACAACCATTGAATCTTTAGTAATAGCTGTCACTTCTGGATTTTCAGGTGGATCTGAGATCCCATACGGGTTATCTATAATAGTAGGTTCTGATTCAAGAGACTCACCAAGTCCAAATTTGTTCACAGCCATTACTCTGAAGATGTACTCATTTCCTTTGAGAAGCTTAGTTACTTTGTGTTGTGTGACCTGCAAGCCTGAAACTACATTGGTCCAAACCAGTCTACTTGATTCACGTTTCTCGATCACATATCCTTCAATCTTGGCACCACCATCATCTGCTGGTGGAGCCCACGTAAGTACACAATTATCAGCAGTTACATCAGACACCTTTAGAGGTCCAACTGGTGCTCCAGGTCTATCAAGCACTTTAACATTAAAAATGTGCTTTGCAAAACCACCAACATTAGTGGCAGTCAAAACAAATTCACCACCATCTGGTCTGACAGAGTCCTTGTTTGTTAGAGTGGTTGTCAGTTCAGTGAACCTAACCTCAAGTTTCATTGTATTCTCAACTTCCTTTCCATTCTTTGTCCAAACCATAGATGGGGTTGGCTGACCAGCTATATCTGCTTCAAGCTTGAAGGATTCCCCTGCTTTCAGTAGAACAGTGTCCCTAAAGATGGCATCAACCATGATACGTGGTTCAATTATGTCATCTTTGCAGGTAATCGAATCAGTGGGCTCAGATGGCATGCTCACTGCTCCAGCTGAGTTTCTGGCCATAACACGAAACTCATAGGATGTGTCCTCAGTCAGCCCACTGACAGTGAATGTTGTCTCTATAATGTTGGTGAAGTTAGCTCTGATCCAGCGACCAGCAGGTAACTCTCTCTTTTCCACAGTGTAGCCAGTGATCTTAAAGCCACCATCATACTCAGGCTTTGTCCATTGAATAGTGATGGCATTTTTGTTTACTAAAATTGGCAACGGCTGACTTGGTGGGTCTACGGGGTCCAAGGCCAGAATTGCTTCAGAGGCTTTACTGGATTTACCAATTCCAGCCATGTTTTCAGCCATGACACGAAACTCATAAGCCACTCCATCTTCAAGTCCTGTAGACTTGAATATATTTCCAGTCACAATACCCTTACTGATCTTATGCCATATAATGCTACTTCTTTCCTTCCTCTCAACATGATAACCAATGACTTCATTTCCACCATCGGACACTGGTTCATTCCAGCCAATTGTTATTGAGTCTTTGGTGAAAGCAACTACACTCGGTGTACCAGGGGGTCCAGGTACTTTGAATGGATATGCAGCCACTACTGCTTCTGATGTGATGGGAGGTCCAACACCATATCTGTTTTTAGCTTTTATTCTGAACTGGTACTCTGATCCAGTATTCAACCGTATTGCTTTGAACATCGTACGTATCACAGAGGAAGACAGGTCAGTCCATGTCTGGGAAGTGGTGTCCCTAAGCTCAACCACATAATTGTTTATTGGAACTCCTCCATCATTCTCTGGAGTTTCCCATGAAAAGACACAGTATGTACGAGATATTTCCACAATCTTAACTGGTCCTTTAGGTGGCCCTGGCACATCATGTACTTTGACAAATATGTTGTCTGTCACAGATCCAACAACGTTCTTTGCTGTCATAGTATACAGACCACTGTCAGCTCTTGTGCATTCATTGATAGTAATAATTGTAGTAGCAGAAGTGGTTTCTACATTAGATCTTTGTGTGAGTTTCAGGGCTGCTCCATCCTTTTGCCAAGAGATTGTTGGTCTGGGACGTCCCATAACTGGAATTTCAACTTTAATGTCATCTCCAGCTTTGGCAATAACAGTCTTTTGACATACACCTCGTAGGTCAAACTCAGGAAGAGATGTACAATCTTTGATAATAATGGGTTTGCTCTCACGTGGAAGACTTCTGCCAGACTGGTTGACAGCCATGACATGGAAAACATATTCCTCATTCTCATTGAGATTCTTCACTGTGAAGTCCATGGACTTGACTGTTGTAACATGGGCCCATTGGTCAGTTCCCTTCTTCTTGGCTTCTAGAACATATCCTGAGATTCTGCTTCCACCATCATGTTTAGGTTTGGTCCAAATCAGGCTTACAGAGCTCTTTGTGATATCAGTAGGGATGATACTGTCTGGAGGAGTCGGTGCTTGGGATGCACGAATTGGATCAGTAGTTTCAACTGCTTCACCAATTCCATACTCATTCTCAGCAGACACTCTGAAGTAGTATTCACAACCTTCACCCATTTCACCAATTCTGACTGAAGTGTTTGGGCATTTTGTAACTGCAGTAGCAAAAGCCTTTCGTGTTGATTCTCGTTTCTCAATTATGTAGTTTGTGATCTTGGATCCTCCATCAATGAGAGGCATCTCCCACTGAAGTGTAATACTTTCCTTGTCAATATTTATTGGTTTTAGGTTAAGAGGAGGTCCAGGTGAATCTAAAACTCTTACATGAATATCAGCGCTCTTCTTTCCAGCTGAGTTTTCAAGGGTAAGCTCATATTTGCCAGCATCTATTCTTGAACTCTCTGGAATAAGAAGCATTGTGAATGACTCAGTGCTGTCTATGACTGCACGTGGAACAGGACCGTCCTCTTTTGTCCAAGTGACAGTAGGAGTAGGGCGACCTTTAATTGGCACAAAGAGCCGGATAGAACAACCAGCTCTGACAACTAGGGTTCTCCGTAGCTCAATATCCAACTCCAAGTCAGGTATAGCAGCATGTTCTACAATCTCAACCAGTTCCTGAGTTTCTGCAGGTTCACCTGTCCCCTTAGCATTTACAGCACTAATTCTAAAGTAGTACTTTACACCAGTTTGCAGGTCAGGAACCACAAACTCGGTGATCCTGAGTGGTTTTGAAGGAGTATCCCTAATCCATTCTTCTGTTTCTTCCTTTTTGTGCTCAATCACATATCCAGTGACTTCAAGTCCACCATTATCCAGAGGTTTTCCCCAGTTCAAAGTAGCAGTTGTCTTGGTTGTGTCTGTAACTCTTGGATTGACTGGAGGTCCTGGTACAACTAAGAAATAAACAAAATGGTTAGTATGCTAAATGTAAAATTGTAAACAACAAAAACAACCTGTAATGGCATGGTTCTCAATTATTTTCACTTACAAGCAGCAACTATTGTTTTGACAGGTATAGAAGGTTCACTTGGCTCTCCAAAACCAGCTTTATTCTCAGCAAGAACACGGAACTCATACTCAACACCCTCTGTGAGACCCGTGACTTCAAAGCTGAGTTCAGCAATGGATTTCTTGGATGCTCTGAACCACCTCATAGTCTTCCTTTCCTTTTTCTCAATACAGTAACCTATTATGTCACTTCCTCCATCTTCAGCTGGTCTTTTCCAGTTCAAAGTGACTGCATGTCCATCAACTTTCTCAACTTCTGGTTTAGAAGGTGGACCAGGAGGACCTGCAAGAAAGAGAAACACATAATTAATTCTAAAGAAAGAAAATGTCTGCTTCAAGACAGATTTGAGAAATGCAGTAGACAGACAAATATTTTGTTGTTAAATTATCAGTTAAATAAGATAAATACAAATAATAGCCTGATCAAATAAACAAACTGTACATACCAAATCTATCAATCATCTTGACAGCCTCAGAATGAGATGGTTCACTGGCACCATACTGGTTCACAGCAGAGACTCTAAAGAAGTACTCATTCCCTTGAATGAGTTTGTTGGCCACGTAGTGACAGTCAATGACCTTCTCTTCCAAGACTGTCCAGAGAAGACGGCTAGTCTCCCTCTTTTCCAGGGTGTAATATTTAATAGGAGAGCCTCCATCTTCAGTAGGGGCTGGCCAGGTAAGAGTAACCTTTATAGAGGAAATACCACTGCATTCAATGGGCCCAGGAGCACTAGGAACATCCAGAACCTTGACCTTGACAGTTTCTTCTTTTACACCAAAGGGGTTGCTGGCAGTAATAGTGTATTCCCCAGAATCTTTCCTGCCCGCATATTTTACAGACAGAGTGGAAGACGTAGCAGTCGTTTCAATCTGAACAAGGTCAGATGGCTTAAAATACTTTCCTCCCTTAGACCAGCATGAAGTTGGTGCAGGTTTGCCTAAAATGCTTGTGGCAGTGATAACAATTGTGTCACCAGCACGGACGGTCAGTCCTTCCTTCACTTGAGCATCAATTATAATCGTTGGTGCAGCTGTTGGAGAAAATTGGAGACATTTAATCTATTATCTCATATACTAATCAACAGTACAATCTCATGGTACCTCACTAAATATGCATAATGCTGTTCATCTCACCATATTCATCTGTACAGATAATGGTATCTGTCTGCTCCGAAGGTGGGCTGAGGGCACCAGCAGCATTCTTCGCCCTGATTCTGAACTCATATTTGCATCCCTCTTGTAAATCAACAACTGTAAATGCAGGTTCCACAACATTCACATTGTTGGCTTTCACCCAGATCTTGGAAGGCAGATCTCGCTTCTCCACAATGTAGCCAGTCAGCCTGTGGCCACCGTCAAACTGAGGCTCAGTCCACTGAAGTGTCACACTGCTTCTGGTGATGCTGATTATATCAGGTTTACCAGGAGCATCTATTGATATAAAATAAGAATACAAATTTGAATGTGCAAATGGTTTGTTTCTCTATATGGTTCTACCTTCATTCTTTTAAACTTACCAATGGGATCCAGTGCCACCTGTGGATCAGTTGGAGCACTTGGCCTGCCAATTCCAGCCAAGTTAATAGCCATTACTCTAAACTCATACTCCAGACCTTCAGTCAGCCCTGTTACTTTGTGTTCCTTCATCTTTAAAGCGGCTGGACTGGCCCTTTTCCACAACATACTGTTTCTCTCCTTAAATTCAATGTGATAGCCTGAACAAAGAAACAAAGCGCAGCAAAAAAATTCTGATTAAGCTCAACTCACATTCATAAATTTACAAAACAAAAACTATTAATAACATGTATATAAAACAGGTACAAAATAACCAGTTTAAAGAAGAGTTTCAAAAGTTTTAAAGCAAACTGCACCAGTGATAGGTGATCCTCCAGTCTTTCTGGGGTCAGACCAGGTCAAGTATGCAAAGTCATGGCGCATGCTCATGATCTGTGGAGGTGCAGGTGCATCCGGTACATCTGTGAAAAAACATTGTTTTAAAGTTATTAGAAGAAACACTTTTTGATCAGGACTAACTCAAATCAGAATAAAAAAGAGTAACTTACTGAATGGATGTTTAGCTACAACAGGCTCAGACTTGAGTCCTTCTCCAACACCGTATTTGTTCTCAGCGCTGACTCTGAATATGTATTCTGTGCCCTCATGGAGACCGGTCACCCTCATGGCATTGGTCTCCACAGTAGAGGACACAGTCACCCACATATTGGTGATGGAATCCCTCTTTTCCAATATATAGTTGGTAATCTCTGAACCACCATCATCCTTGGGAACACCCCACTTGAGTGTAGCACCATCAGCCGTAATATCTTTGAATTTTATTGGTCCAACAGGAATGCTAGGTTTACCCACCACCCTAACATAAGACAACAATTTACAGTATTGATACTGTTGAATCCCACACATTTATTCAAATGAATATGCTTCACACTTTTGAATTCTACCTGATGAAGATGGCTGACTCTTTGGTGCCAGCACTATTTCTCAGGGTGATTGTGTACTTAACAGCGTCACTCCTTTGACAGTCCCTAATTAGAAGGGTGGTATTGACTGCAGAAGACTCTGCACAAACCCTGCCAGTGTCTGTGAGGTCTTCATCCTCTCCTTTCTTCCAGGTAACCTTGGGAGTAGGTTTGCCAATGATGGGGATCTTCAAACGAACAGTGCTGCCCTCTTTGGCAATGTAGCACATGTTGGGCAATTCTCTTAAGTCACAGCTTGGATGAACTAAAAGAAGAATAAAAAAATAATTTGAATCATTATCATTGAACTCTGCATGGTTCTATATCTCTTTGAATGGAATTTTCACAAGAATAAATAAATACTTACCAATCTGATCTTTGGCGATCACCTTTAGTTCTTTAGCAGAACCCTCTCCTGAATCATTTATAGCTTTGACTCGGTAGGTGTACTCTCTTCCCTCTACCAGGTCCTTGGCACTGTACTGCATATTCTTGGACCTCATAAGCTCCTTGTATTTGTCATCACCATTAAGAACTTCTAGCACATAGCAAATAATGCGACTGCCACCATCACTGAGGGGTTTCTTCCAGCTTAGAGTACAAGAATCCTTGGTCACCAGCAGGGTTTTAAAGTCCATGACAGGCCCAGGCTCCTCTGAAATTTAAATTAGGTGAATTTGACTTTTGTTTAAGAACAACATAAATATTTGACTTATTCAACCCACCTGTTGCTCTGACAGAATCAGCTGTCTCACAAGCTTCTCCTTTACCAAGCTGGTTGACTGCTGACACTCTGAAGCAGTAGGACCGGCCGGCATCCAGCTCTTGAACCCTAAATGATGTCTTGGTGCAATTGTTTGAGACAACAGACCAGGCCTTTCTCTCAGTGTCACGCTTCTCCACTATGTAGTGGGTGACTTCATAGCCACCATCAATCAGAGGAGCATCCCAGAAGATTTCAGCACTGTCTTTGGATGTTTCTTTCACCATTAGATTTGCTGGTGGTCCAGGAGTGTCTGGAATCACAAACATAAACATAATAAATTATGGCCCTGAACTCCAAAAATTATTATAATTTTTTTTTTTCATTTTAGAGAATGCAGATTTTTGCAATTAGTGCAGCCAATAATATCATTAAAAATTTAGTTTTAGAATTTGTGGCTGGCAGGCTGGCTGGATGGATGGATGGACATGATCTTGGGGAAAATTCAAGAATCTAATTTATTTTAAACAAAGACCAAATAACTTCCTAATTAAGTTCTCTTACCAAAGACTTTGACAGTAATGGTGTACATCTTCATGCCAGCTGAACTCTCTAAATTCAAAACGTATTTGCCAGCATCGTATCTGTTGACCTTCTCTGCCACCACCATGGTGTCTGTGTTGCTGGATTTGATGACAATGCCCTGACGGTCCTTGATGTTGGTGTTCATTTTTGCCCAAGTAATACGAGGACTGGGACGACCCTTGATGGTTGCATACAACTTCATGGTGGCACCGGCCTGAAGCTGCAGACCTTCTTTCAATTCAGCACTCAGCTCTGCCTCAGGAGCAACTGAAGAAAGATACAGAGCGTGTTGAAGTAAATATTTTAAGTCAAAATATATTGTACAGTAGAGAACTTTTTTTTTAGAAAGAACAGTTAACAATTCTAACAAAGTTAAGTCAGGTCCTTTGGATGGATGCAAAAAAGATAACAATTAACAATTGTTAACAATCCAGTTAACAATTCTGTTGTAGTCCAAAGAAAATGTTGTTTGCAGTACGCTCATTCTGCAAACATGTTTTTGGACTGATGTGACCAAAGTTCTTTTTGTTCTTTAGATCAGGGGTTCTCAAAATTTTTGGGTCCAGGGACCCCTAACGGGGAGAAAAAGTTTCAGGGACCCCCTCATAACCCTCATGTTTGTTAAATAATTTTCTTCAATTTGTCTCTTTAATGCAATGGAAATATTTGTGTAAAATAAATACTTAAGACCTATTCTTTAATAGTGTTAATACATTTTTTTTTACATTTAAACATGGTGTATTTTTCATTCAAGACATACTTAATTAAATTTTTTTATTTCAACTTCCAAAAATTACCATTTTGCGAAAATTAACAGCATCAAAAACCACTTCAAAACTTTACCTATTCACTTAACGAGCATAAAAAACGTATTGCCACTTCTTCAAATTATTACAGAAAACTCTTTACATAAAACTGAACAGAATCATAACAGCAGTAGTCATACCAAGTAACAGGGCTTAGTCTGTAAACCAATCAATGCCAGAACGCAAATGGCGGGCGGGCGGGGGTGGGGTGGCATCTATCTAGTAGGGACATCTACTTTATTCAATTTTTTGAACAAAGTAGATGCAATTTCCTGCATTTTGGTGTGTGTTAAAGGATTGTTAAACATCTATGTGCTTGTTAAAAAAAAGAAAAAAATATATATATAAAGGCTGTTCATGTTAACTCGTTATTATTGTGTTAATGCAGCAAATGGTTAACGCAGACAATTATTTTAACGTACGTTAATACTATTATGTTCCATTTTCCTCCTTAATTTCTCTCCTAAGCGTCTATGAAAAAACACACACAACACTCTGGCCGGGGGCTGGCTTTCCAGCTTGAGAGCGAGACAGGGTCTGCCTCAACAAGGATTACATCCAATCACATTGAAGCTTGCGTTGCCTTGATCAATTACTAACAGGAAAGCGAGTCAAACGCAAGCCGGTGGAGAGCTGAAGTCCAGTTCTGTTGGAGCGGCAGATTTCGGTTCACAAATGCACCATGGAGTTTGTTCCTCTCGAGATTAATCAGAAAAATATTTGAGATTAATTGCCATAAAAAAATTTAATCTTTGCCCAGCACTAATATTTATATTCAATTCAATTCAATTCAAAAATACTTTATTAATCCCAAAGGGAAATTATTTGTTGTTGTAACTCGTTATCTTCATTTCATTAAAGGATGTTATTGATACTGATGGCTGTAGACAGGAAGGATCTCTTGTAAAGGTCCATCCCACAGTGGATCCTAAGAAACTGGCTGCAGATGCCGTCCGATCTGTCCTCCCAGACTCGGCTGACCTCTCGGTTCCTCCGGGCTGTAGGACCGCCCCAATGCCGGGCAGAACTCCTCCTAGAGCGATGGCCACTCCTCCCAGCAGTCTGCTGAGCTCCTCGTCACTGCAGACAGCCAACTGTAGGTGCCAAGGTACAATCCTGTCCTTCCGCTGTCATGAGCCGGGTTTCCTGCTAGTTCCAGGATCTCTGTGGTCAAGCACTCGAGCACAGCCGGCAGGTAGATGGGCATGCGTCCACAGAACATCCTTTTCAACTCATTTGAGATTTGGGGCTGTAGCTGAGATATTATTTGAGCTTTTGAGCTGTTGGTTGTAGAAAACTGCCTTGCTGCCATGGTTACGCATCATAACAAATGTCCAAAACTTAAAAAGTTTCAGTAAAAATCCTTCCAGCTGCACAGCATCTGATACCAGAGGAAACAATCATCCAAAAAATGTGATTTACATCCAAAAAAAGAGGAATTAAAGTTTCCAAAACCAAAATCTCAGAATGAAAGT